TTCAGTGTAAGTTGTTGTCTTCTGTGTAGCTATGTTCAATGACCTTATGTAGACTAACAACCATATCAATTGTTCATCCCTGGGGAAAATGTTATCATAGTAAAGGGACTGTTAATCCACTATGCAATTAATACCACATGCACACTGAATAACAATATTTATTCAACACAAAAACATCTTGCATGTGCAGGTATTTTTGCTGTCTCTCAAATGTTTGTGGATACTATGATGATAAATAAAGCATAAATCTTAAAAGTGACACTGAATCTATAGCTACTTTCTTTTGGCCAATATGTATTTCTTTGAATTGATGAATACCAAATGTACAACTATTGTTGGAAAACTTTCTAGAATTCTTGTCATTGCAAGTCTATAAACTTGATAGGAACTTGATGGATATGCAGTAAATAAGGACCCAGAGGAGGAAAAACTGTGCAGCCTGAAATTCTGACTTTGAATTAATCCAACTTTTGATCCAGATGAAAAGAAATTCCAAGAATAGGAAAAGAGAAAAGAAGCTTGAAGAGCCAGATTCTACTGTTCATTCTGCCATCTCTCTGATCAACTCATTTTTGCTCTCAATCATGGTTCCCTTATCCATGAAAGTGTATCAAAACACTGCTTGCTGTAATTCCAGAATCAGTACTTTCCCTCTGGGCTCTCATAGTACTCTACCATAAATAGGAAAGCACCTTACCAAAAAGTATTGAAGTCAATTGCACTTTCCTCTTTTTCTTAGTGTATGGGGAATCTCTCAAGGTCAGAACCCATGTTTCTTTCATTTTTAACAGCCAGTACTATTTTGCTCATGAAGAGTGATCAGTAAATCTTTATTTAATTGAATTACTATAAAGATAAAGCTAAATGGAAAATATATGTAAAAATAGTTTATGATGTCTGATGAAATATACAAAAGTAAGGTATTATCAGCAGAATTATTCTTAACTTATTCATCATCTTTTCATTTATTCTACAAATACTTGTTGAGGTAACGAGCAGAGGATAATTAGAGAAAAAAAAATCAACTGGTTCAACAGCGACAACAAACCCAAGTCATTGCTCTGACATGTACTTAAAGGACAAACAAAATTTTGAACCAGAAACTTAAACTAAGAACCTATGCTGGCTCAGTGGCTCAGCCTGTAATCCTGTGCCTTTGGGAGGCTGAGGTGAGTGGATTGCCCGAGCCC